TGAAACTTCTGTACCCACATCTGACAAATCTTTTCTCAGTTCCTCAGCAGTCACACGGGGACTTCTCTCCACTCTACGCTTCAGGTAGCGCACAGCAGTCGAAGTCAGCATCTTCTTTCTGCCACGACCAGGTAGCGTTTCAACAGTGCCCTTTGCCTTGAATTTGCGAATGATGCTTCCTAAGGTGTCTCTTGGTATGTTTAACATCTTTGCAATCTTCTTATAGCCATTGCCCTTCCTGTGAAGAGAAATCACCTCTTCTCTTGTCTTCCTGGACCATTCTCTTGCCTTCACCATGTTTGTAACCACACCAGTAAATGTCTAGAAGGAGCTGAGTATCACAGTCATTTTAAAGCTGCCTAATTGGTGCTTATTATGCTTGATTGCTGCTCGGTGACATCCACAGGTGTTTTCAATACCTGATGGAAAGCACCTGTATGAACCTCTGTTCTTCAGAGTGGTAGTCTTTAAGGGGTTGAATAATTGTGGCAATGAAGAAACCACATAAGAACCATTTACTACTGTATTACATAAACAATTGATGTCATTTTAGTTGCATTTGGGTAGTTACAACGTCCTTGTAGGATTTGATTCTGAATACAATTCCAAATGTACACTATAGTCCCCTAAACCCCTTTACAGCATTGGGGGTTGAATAATTTTGGACACAACTGTATATATATATATATATATATATATATATATATATATATATATATAAATATATGTGTGTGTGTGGTTAATGGGTTGAACTAGATGGACATGTGTGTTTTTTTTCAACCAGACTAAAACTATGTAACCTAAGAGACAGCCTTCAGTGCTCTAGTGTTCTATATGCGACCACATTACAGATCAAGGTTTTTTTTACTGCAATTATTTTTATTTCATTTTGTCACCCATAGATCTTAGGAACATATTTTTAAAGCACTGAATGTGACATTCACCAAAAATTCTCTGAAGCTGAATCAATTACTGTCATTTTAAACACATGCACCAAGAAGATTCATCTGCAGCGAATGTTTGATAACTGTCACATTCACTGCTTTAGAAATATCCCCCTTACTGTGAATGAAAAAAGAAAACAAGTCAGACCTTAATAAGGTAATATAGTGCTTCCCTGCATTACTGGTGTACTTTTCACTGATTCTACTGTACACCTTGAAGTAAACGTTTTTAGTTTGCATTCTCTGCATTCTAATGTAGCAAGATTACCGGTACATCCATTACAAGGTAAATGGTGTAGCATCTGTGTGCAGGTTGTTGGAAGCATAAATAACCTGGTTGATCAAATGTTGTGCACAAGTCCACAGCAGTAACATTGAACGTGTTTGTTTGTAGGCAGGGAGAAATCCATTCCAATACATTTTTTGCAGAATGATTCAAATTCAGAGAAAACCAACGGTCAAGTTTAGCAACTTTATGCATGCATTTTTTATATAACCAGGGATCAATTGGGCCACTAAATTCATGCCATTGAATTTCAACTGACATCTACAAGACCTATAAATGGCCATCCTACTTATCTATTGGTGAAGGAGTTTGTATTAACCTCCTGCGATGCTCCCGCCATTCCCAGATCCCTCCTCCCTAATCTATTCCTTATCCTTCCTTTTTCAATCTCTTCTTGCGTCACCTCTCTTCACATTTGTTATTTGTATGCCTCTGGATTTTACACTTCGGTCCTGAGGTCATGCATTGATAACACATATTTTGGTGCCTTGGATGTTAGACCTGTTCATGGGTATATCTGACCCATGATTTAAAAAATGGCACCAATTTTGCTCAATTTTACAAAAATTAAACGCTATGAGTGGCAATATAAACACGCAACTCCTATATAATTATAACTATATTACAGTTAATAACTTACACTTTATAACCCAATGTTTCCGATGTAAAATTAGAGTTGGAAGTACATACTGTAAACACTCTTACTATATCTGCTAACATGTATGCAAAAACACAAACTAGGTAACAGAAGTACAAGTTGATCAGCGAGATCTTTTTAAACATTGACTAAAAAATGTAATAAATTCAACCATATCTAAGAAACTAGAGCTGATACAGTCTAGCCAATGCAATTTTCTGAATTAGCGCTCCAAATACCCCAAGAACAGGTCTAAAAAGCAAAGCACCAAGAATAAGTTTTTTTTTTTTTGGGCTGTGTATTCTCTCTTTCTACCTTTTTACCTATGTCTTTTACTGGCTGTGTGTGTGTTTGTTGCTTTGAGAAAACAAAAATTATTGAACAGAAATTCAGAGAAAGCCATGTTGTATGGTAAAGGTGGCAATAGCTAGATCAAAATTCACTGGGTTCTGCAGGGACCAGCTGAATTTCGATCCATGCTTTGCCACTGCCGCTCAACAGACGTCGATCTATTGATGGCTGAACAAAAAAACTGAACCATGTATGGCCAGTTTTAGTCATTAAGACCAAAACAGAGGCTTTTCTATACTACTGAAAAAAAGAGGGGCAAAAAATCACCCAGATTAAAATGTTTTGGGGCTTATACTGTAATTTCATAAAAATTGGTAAAGTTATTTTTTTCCTCCATGCATCGTTTTTGATGAGTGTGAAGTACAGGTAAACATAGAAACCAGTAATTTCTTTAAAAAAGACATCAGATTCTCTAATTCACTTAATGATCTACTTAAACAAAGTCTAAAGAATTGTGAAAGGAAGAATCCTGTTAAAGGAGTTTGTGAGAACGGATGTATGCGATACAAAAAAATCTCAAAAATAAACTTGAGCAAAGACTAAAGCTGACCATACAAATCTTTAGCTTAACTAGTGAAAGCAGCGCAACAGAAAGAAAATACTAAAGTGGCATGAAATAATATGCAATTAAATACATGTGCTATAACATATAAATAAATAAAAATCAATACATTCATCTGTGAAAATCTAATTCATCAAACAAATAAAATGATTCATATAAGTCCACCAAAAAAATATTATATAAAATGTATAGTTAAATAGAAAGTCCTTCTGATTCACTGAATCACCACATGAATAAATAAGATTACTTCCACATGTGCCAAAAAATAACTTCACTCCAGTGCCACCACGTGCTCCAGAGAAAAACTTCCCCCAATTCAGTGGTACTCACCAAATGTCATGGCCCATCTTAACTTGATAGGCAATCGTGCTTGCTTGGTGAGTGTCAAACATAATAATGATCCTCAATTACTTAGCCCCTCTGCCATTACAGGCTGAGGGAATGGTAGAACATCCTCTAAATTAATAATCAAGTGGCAGCGAACACCACTGGAACCAAAGGTGTCCAGATGAAGAAACGTTGCTCGAACCAATATTTTTTGGTGGACTTGAGGAATTTTATTTGTTTGATGAATTGGACTTTCACTTTCATGCTTTGCTGGTTTTTTTTTTGTCTTCTTTTTTTTTGGATCAACTGTGAGTATAGGATCATAAATTCTTTTTTTTTTTAATGGTTGAACTGGATGGACTTTTGTCTTTTTTCAGCCAGACTAACTATGTAACTATGATGAAATGTATTGATTTTTAAAATGTATTTATATGTTATAGCACATGTATTTCATTGCATATTATTTTATAGAACTTTAGTGTTTTTTTTTTCTGCTGTGCTGCTTTCACTAGTTAAGTTAAAGATTTTTTAGGTGTTTATTGGTATATTCACTATTTAAAGCAGCAGCAATATACACGCTTTCTTTCACATACATATTTGATCTGTCAAGTATTTGCTATTAACAGATCGAGTTGACAGGCACTTTAAGCCACTTTTTGGAGTGTGGTTTGCGCGGTGATTATAATATTAATAAAGCTGACTAAAGATTCCCTCATCAGCATAGTTAGGGTTGATGGGGAATCAATCCCGCAGAACTATTGTGTTCTCCCAGCTGAAGGGCGTGAGAGCCATCCCTGCCAGGAGAAGGCAGCTATAGCTGCTGGCAATAATCACAAGAAAAATACCCAAGTTGTACAATAATAAAATTGGGCAAAAATCAGCCTGCCTATAGAGGTTTTGAATCTTGGTTGGCTTCGAGATTTGAACCAGCTATGGCCAGATTAAGTGTTTTTGATACTCTGGATGATAGGAACATTACTGCAAAGGCAAACTGGGGAACTTGGTAGAAGAATTAGGACACTTAGTATGAAAAGATCTGGGGCACGTGCGATGGATACAAGGATCTAGCAATGCCCCTGGGCTAAAATATTCTATGTCAGAGTTGTGGGGTATATTGAAATAATGAAAGCAAGATGGTGTACAATTACTAATACCACTGCACATAAACTATACTCAACCTTTTCTGAATAATTCATCATTTTAATCTGTACATTTACAGTTTTTTGTTGGATCAAAATGAATAGAATGTCTTCATACATCATTTATTTTACAAATGCTAGAGTTAGAGGTCTATTTATTATTTCACAGAAGAGTCACACAACTTTCCCCCAGGATTCTCACCTTTTTTCCAATTAAACCAAGGTAGAAAAAGGCATGAGTTTTTGGGGGAAAACTGTGTGAATCTTTGATGGAAGAAGTTATAAATAGACCTCTTAGTGTAGTAAGAGAAATCAATGTCAATTCACATAACGTTCACGCAGGACTCACACATTTTTCCAATTAAACCCATGTATAAAAATGCATGAATCTTGGGGAGAAATTGCGTGAATCTTAGATGGAAGAAGTTATAAATAGACCCCTCAGTGTAGTAAGAGAAATTGATGTCAATTCACATAACTTTCACACAGGATTCACACATTTTTCCAGTTAAACCCATGTATAAAAATGCACGAATCTTGGGGGGAAAACTGTGTGAATCTTGGATGGAAGAAGTTATAAATAGATCCCTCAGTGTAGCAAGAGAAATTGATATCGCTGATACACTCTAGAATTTCATCTTTTGACGTAAAATAATAGGTCACAATCTGGAAGCAGTAGTCTTATAAAAAGGATAAGGATATTTCTAGATTTGACCACAAGCATTTCTTTAGTTACCTAAAAATGTACAGTAAGATAATAATCACTTACCGTCTTTGTTGTCTTTGAAAATTGGAATAGAAGTCAATAACCACAAGAGATGAAGAGGGGGAGAAAAAAATATTATTTTAATACACATTTTACTTCAAAGATATGCTATGCGGTGCTGTGGTTGTCTATGTATGTCTGTTTGCTGGGAAATGAGATTATAATTCTTTACCATTTGCTTCATCATAATGTTGAATAAGCTACTGTAGAACTTATTTTGTTTTCTTTAAAAAATTTTACAATTTTGTTAAAAACAACAACACAAACATTAATACTAACATTGTCTATTCCTTTTGAGCACTCAAGAAGCCTAAAAGGCATTGTTCACCCCTTCATTGTTCCATACACAACCTCCTAACAGCTCAAGTATTTTGCTGAAATTACAATTATCTGATCTCATCTTTAGTGTAAATAAACAAGAGAAAGTACAAATCAGACCCTACCTGACCATGCGTTGTATCTGTAGCTATACAATTTCTGTTGAATTGTTTTAGAATTTTCTGTTCTGTGCCTTCAACGTTGTACACAGACTCTCATTTGTCGCCACTTCTCCTGTACGTGTCTATGCATCTTCTTATTAACATTTTACAATAAAATGTTAAACAAAAAATCAGACCCTTCTCAGACATAGTGCTAGCTGAGGTCCATCAGTCTAATTACACTTAATTGCAGGTTACTAGCAATAAACCCCCCAAGATTTAAAAAAACAAAAAACCCCAAAACATGTTACATTATTCAAATCACATTTCAAGCTGTCAAAATGTAATCTTTGCAGTTAGTATAACTTTTTAGACTTTTATTCTAATCATATTCTCTACTGCAATTAATTGCATCATTAAAGTAGAAAAGGTCTGCTGGACTTCAGGGGCCAATTATACTATGGCTGTAGACATTGTTTTTAAATATTTAAATACTAAGTAATACAAATGGATTGTATTGTGGTGCACATACATACCTTCAGAGGCAATGCCTGTAAATGCCAAGGTAAAAATGACCCAGCAAAGGGCAATCTTAGGATATACCATTCTGTTTGGGTGATGAGTTCAGTTTTTAGGAGGACTTGTATATGGTGTGCATGCACAGATCAAACTGCAGAGTTTACAGTTTAGTGTCATGAGGGTTTTTTTTTTCCATTGCATCAAACCACAACCTTCCTGTGCTTTGTTCTTCCTCAGGTTAAAGTATCACCAACAGAGTCATACAACAAAATAAATGGCAACCCAGCCATCTCTATAGGTAGTCATAATCATCAGTGATTTGCCCCTTTTTTTCCATCCTGTCTTTAAGTGCGGCCACAATTCTCACTTATTTACTGCACTACATACTGTATAGTATTGTTTAAAGTGTAACTCCAGTCAAAGTTTGTTTTTTTTAAAGAGGCACTGTCACCTTTGTAAAGTATGTATACTTACCTTACTGGTGCTCCTTTACTGCTCCTCCCTCCACTGCAGCCTAATAAAATACTCAGAGGATGTGAGATCCTTCCATGTGACAGTGTTTGGGTCTAGCAGCCAATCCCTAGGCCCATGCATTGTCACATGACAGCGGGGGGTTATGTCACCACTCCCCCTATCCTCTGACATAGGGGACATCTTGGATTTTAGTGGTAGCTGCAGTTGAAACAGGAGCTGCAGGGGAGTGCTAGTAATTTGAGCACATGAGACTTACATGATTTTTTTTTTTTGTTCAACCAAAGGGTTGAACAAAAAAATGAGCCTTACATTTGATGTGGATGGGGGAATCCTCCCTGCTGAGTTATTGTGTTCTGATGGCTGGGAAACTTCCCCGTCATCACATTACAATGATCAGTGTTGCCAGCTATAGCCCACAAAACGCGTTAGGGCATTGTCAGCCCACGCTTGTCAGTCAGCAGGAAGTAGCACTGTCCAGCAGTGGGAGGTTTATGGTATGTGGCCGCATGCAAACACTGGGACCTTAGCTGGGAAAAGTGAGACACTTTGCACTTCTAAATTTGTACATGATTGTTATTATTTGTTTTTATATGAGTGCATAGGCTTTTTAATAAAAAATAGCAAGTTGTTTTTTTATGGGATTACCCTTTGTGGGTTTTTATTACTTTCCAGCATGCATGTATTGTATATTCCTGCTGTCCTGTGCTATTGTTGTGAAAACTGGGAGGACAGCTGAAAGGGAAGAGCGGTAATCCATCCATGCATCCGCCTGCATGATATTTTTAATGCAACTGCTGGGGCATGCAAATTGTCTCTGTTGGGTAAACCAGGAGGAAAGCTGAGCCGGGGAAGCTGTAACTCATCCATCCAATAGTGTGGTGCGCTAATGCTCATTTGCCCAACTTACAACTGCTGGGCAATCAAAGTTGGTGAGTTTATGTCCAATGCTAGGTGGTGGACTGCACGTCAGTGGTGAACACACGGTTAAATAAAGAGAGGTTCACAATTTTTTTGTTTGGAGTTATTAGTATTTGAAGAAGAGATATGGACCGTTTTATCACTAAAAGACACTTTCTTATTTGTTTTTTACCTATTGGATACATTGTTATACATAATTTTTTTTTTTTTGACAATGGTAGAAATCCTGTTTCTGAGCATTGCATTCTGAAGGGAATAGCCTTTCTTATATCATTAGTCTGTTTTTTTTTTTTTCTTTATTACTGCTGCTTAAATTTATTTATCATGGTATATTGCCTAAGGAGGTATACATTGATATATTTAAGCGCAGACTGGGATTTTATATACTGTACATATGTCATGCATAATATATAAAATATTCTTGGATCAAATTCTACATACATTGTTAATGGTAAATTATATATACAAGGAAATATAAGTCACATATACCGTATGTAAATTGTAGGACAGCATATTATTGGCCCTGGGTGGGCCACTTCTTTCACCTTTACGTTTACCGGGTGCAACTTATCATTTGATATGCCGCGCCATGTGAGTTGAAAAACGCAAGGCAAGTCACACCCTATTGTCTGCAATTACAGCGGTCATATCAGCACGATTACGACTTGGTCGGAGCTGCACCGATTTCTAAAGTAGTGCTTGCACTATTTCAGGTGAGACTTGCATAGACATCTGTGTCTTGCAAGCCGCAAATGTCTTGCAAGTCGTACCTCAAGTCAGAACACCATCTGACTTTGAAAATGGTTTCAAAGTCGGATCATTGTGACCGGGGTGTTATACAATTGGCATTGCTATAGTAACACTCCAGTTAGCGTCTACATTCAGGAGACCTTTATTATTTTTCATGATACAAATATTAAAAATTTAGTGTATAAAACTATGGAACGATACTTGCCACCACCTGCCAACTCCCTAGCAATACACACTAAACTGAGCAAGTACATATGGCTATGGGTTAAGTCTGTCTTATCATGTGGACATTTGAACAAGAGGAGGGGCAGAGAAAACAGGATCAAACAGCCTTTTTACACAATGCAGACGATTAACCCCTTAGGTTCCACAGTGAGTATAACAAGCATGCTTTATTGCATACATGGGTAAAAAGCAGAAATATGAGCGCTATCAGAAATTGAATGTAGCGGCTAGGACACAAAAGGTAACCAAGCAACACCTTCAGTATAACATATAAAAGAAGAAGTGCTGCGCTAAAACCAAGTGACAAACTGAGTAAAAAAAATATAAAGTGGATAATACAATGTATATAAAATAGATATAATATGAAGTTCCTGTCACTATTAGTGACTAACTGAATAGATAATACTCCCAAAATACGTAAAGCAAATGTGATCGTATAAATGCGTGGGGGACTTGATCCGTAGTGGTAGAAACAGGTAGAGTGAATGAATGAATTTGCGCACTCACCAGAAGTGCGTAAGTATTACGCCTTTGAGATATGCCTGTCTCACCAGGTGTGCACGGGGTCATCAGTAAACATACAAGGGTCAGGATCCTATACGCCTTCTGGTCACGTCTCAGGAATGGCACTCAGATGCGTAACACGTTGGAAGGTCCCTTTAGGATGCAGGTTCTGCGGGTGAAGGCTCTCAATAAAGAGAGCCAAGTAAGGGACACCACATAGCGTGATACCGTAGGGATATTTTATTCACAAGTAAGTGCATACAGATCAGTTAAACGTGTTGCAAAAGCGTAAGGTAAAAACACTGACCATATAAAATTCAATATATGGTGGCCACTTGTGGTGGTTAAACGTCCAGCTGTAGCCCCACTGACGCGTTTCGAGCGAAGCTCATCATCATAGGGTGCAGGGCTTACAGTCAGGACGTTGTACTGCTCTTATTTATATTTGAAAATGGCACCCGTAATGATCGTGGGAGCCATTTTGCCGGCTATTCGCGCATGCGTGATGTGTCAGCACCATTTTGCCGTGGATCACAAAGGCAATAGGAAGGGAGCAGACAGTGATGTCTCATCGCGTGTGGGTGCGTGCGCATACAGCGGGCTACAATGTCATTCTATATGACAGACGGACGAGACAAACGTGTCTCGAGTATGGGCATATGGCTGGCGCCATTTTCTTGGTGGTGGACAAAGTAAATGTTCCAGGGATGGAACTGCAAAATAGGTGCAGGAAAGAAAGCACCTATATGATGAAACTGATAGTAAAATGATAAACACTAATATGGATATTCAGGAGAAGTGAAATGCACAAATGGAACCCTCAGGGGGTCAAATAATTATTCAATGAGATAAATGAAAATGAATGGATAGGCATATGAATTTTGTGAATAACTTCAAGTATAGGATGTCACCATGAAATTAAAAATGAATAATATATAGGTCAGTTTATAAAACAAAAAATACATAAAAATACATCAAATATAAATAAAATGCCATGACGGAATAAACAAATGAAAAAGAAACATGATGAATATAAAACAGATATAAATACAGTTGCAAGATAAAAAGTATGTGAACCCTTGGGATTACGTGGAGTTTTGCATGAATTGGGCATAAAAATGTGCTCTAAAAAACGTCATCTAAGTCACAACAATAGAAGAACACAGTCTGCCGAACATAATACTACACAAACATTAGATGTTGCCATGGTTTAATTGCACATAACATGTAAAACACATTCACAGCGCAGGGAGGAAAAAGTATGTGAACCTTTGGACTTACTAAACTGGTTGACCCTCCTTTGGCAGCAATAACCTCAACCAAACATTTCCTGTAGTTGCAGTCTATCAACAGTTTCACAATGATCTGGAGTAATTTTGGACCATAAATCCTCTTCACAAAACTGTTTCAGTGTAGCAATATTCTTGGGATGTCTGTGTGTGAATCGCTCTCTTAAGGTCATGCCACAGCATTTCAATCGGGTGGAGGTCAGGACTCTGACTGGGCCACTCCAGAAGGCGTATTCTGTGCTGTTGCAGCCATTGTTTTGTTGAATTACTTGTATGCTTTGGGTCATTGTCCTGTTGCATCACCCATCCTCTGCGGAGCTTCAGTTGGCGGACAGATGGTCGTACGTTTTCCTGCAAAATGTCTTGGTAAACTCTGGAATTAATTTTCCCATCAATGACAACAATCCGTGCAGGCCCTGAGGCAGCAAAGCAGCCGCAAACCATGATGCTCCCTCCGCCATGTTTTACAGTGGGGATGAGGTTTTGATGTTGGTGTGCTGTGCCTTTTTTTTTCTCCACACATAGTGTTGTGTGTTCTTCCCAAACAATTCAATCTTGGTTACTGTCCACAGTATATTTTGCCAGTAGTGCTGTGGAACATCCAGGTGCTCTTTTGCAAACTTCAAACGTGCTGCAATATTCTTTTTGGACAGCAATGGCTTCCTCCGTGGTGTCCTCCCATGTACTCCATTCTTGTTTAATGTTTTCCTTATTGTAGATGTGTCAACAAAAATGTTAGCATGTGCCAGAGACTTCTGTAGGTCTTTAGCTGACACTCTGGGATTCTTCTTTACCTCATGCAGCATTCTGCACTGTGCTCTTGCAGTCATTTTTACAGGACGACCACGCCTAGGGAGAGTAGCAACAGTGCTAAACTTTCTCCATTTGTAGACAGTCTGTCTTACCGTGGACACATGAACATCAAGG